GGCTACAAACCGTCCAATCTGCAAAGCATCCCTGGCTACCTGGGCCCGCGCGCAGGGCCGGGTCTTTCCCCCCACCCCCCAGGTGACCAGAGCATCGCCTCCCAGGCGCCAGGCTTTTGTCTGCAGACAAGGAGCGAGATCCCCGCTGTGAGGGATTCAACAGCAGCCTCTCAGGCTGGCTGAGACAGATCTCTGGAGAGGGGCACCGACGGGGGCATTTCTGCCACAGGCTCTCTCATGCAACTCCAGCATTACACCGTCTCTGACGCCAGCCCAGGAGAAGCTGGTGCAGTAGGTGAGACCCTGGCTTCTGGTTGCAGAGCCAGGTCAAACAAAGGGCAGCACTAACCCATCCTTTCCCAGTGTACAAGGAAGTCAGGGAAACTGAGGTATGCAACCTTTATTATAAAACACACACATAGACACAGACACACATTTATCCCAGAAACATTGCAAAACAACCGCAGGCCTGTTACACTTGCTAATGTTAATTTTATTCCCCAGGCCCTGAGTGAAAATGCCTACCACCTCTGGGCAGTGTGAGGGGCCCTGGAATCTGACAGAGAACCAGTCCCTGGATGAGGGAGATACCTTTCGTTTCCCAGTGAAACTCCAGGCTGCTTTGGCCAAGACTGAGGCCCCTGGCAGCTGACTTCCACGTGCTCCGTGGTGCTTGCTGAAGACTTGTTGCTGGGATCTTTGACTGCTGTCTGCATTGGAGTTGTTGGTTGTAGCTGTGTTAGTCTAAGGACACAGGCAGGAAAGGTTCTTTAGTGAAATGTGATATCTTTTATTAGACCAACTAAATAGTTGGAAAAAATGTTCTTTGCAAGCTTTCAGGTACAAACAAACTTTCCCCATGCCTGAAGAAGGGTGTTTGTAACTGAAAGCTTTCAAAGAACATTTTTTTCCAGATATTTAGTTGGTCTAATAAATGATATCATATTTACCTAAAGAACCTTGTTTGCATTGGGCATGCTCTAGCCCAGCCAATTTCCTACGTGCAGGAAGCCTGATCTGAGCATGCTCAGGTGTCTGCTTGCTGAGGTCAGGGCTGGAGTCCCAGGTGGGATGCAAGTCTGGGCACAAGGCCCAATGCGGTCCAGGAGACAGGGTGTGGGCTGGGAGCTGGGGGTACCCCTCCAGGTGCAGCTGGTGCCAATCAGTCTGCACACGTCAGTTTTCCAGCATGAACCCGGGTCTGCACGCCCAGCTCCCGTGGCAGCTTGCAGTGGTACCATGCAGCCTGAGGGGTGGAGCTCATCTCCATGACACAGCTGGTTCTTCACTTTGCTTCCCCAGGGCCTGGGGTTCCCACATGATGACCTGCCCTTGACCATGCTGTACCGCAGGACTTTCCCCATGCCAGGGGTGCACATGCTGCCCATTCCTGGGCTTCTAGCAGGTCACGGCTCATGCCTGGGGATGAGCATCCCCCACCAATCCAATTGCTGTTGCTCTTTACCCTGCTATGAGTGAGTGGTGCCCTTCATCCATGTCTTGCCCTGGAGTATGGAGCAGGGACCCATGTGGCCTCTGGTGCTTGCTGCCCCATAGTCACTGAGAAATGCCAAGAGACGGGAGGTCCAGAGAAGTGGCCCATGGAAGTGGAGGAAGCTCTGCGCTTGCCGTCAGGGTTCATCTGTGGTACAGGAAGCTGCTTGCATCTCCCCGTGAGATGGCGCTGGGTGGCTGGGCTGGAAAGGGCTCACAGCCAGTGCATGTCTCAGACTGCAGCACTGCAGTTCAGGGCTAGGGACAGACATTACACATAAACTGGTTTAAGTGATCCTAAACTGGATTAAACCTGTAACAGAACAGATGTTCAGTGCACATAAACCAGTTTGAAAATGGCTGAAACCAGTTTGAGTTAAACCTGGTTGAATGTAGTATTAGACTTAACTGATTTGGGTCAAACCAGTTTATGCAATGTCTGTCTGTCCCAGACCCCTTACTGGTTTAAGATAAACCAGACTCCCCTAGCATCCTGGCATGCTCTCTGGGCTGGGCAGGGCTCTCTGCTCCACAGCAGGGCTGGCCGCTCCCTTCTGCTCCCTCAGTGCAGCTCCAGCAGAGACTGCAGGCGTCGGCCTGGCTTCTCCCTGCTAAACAGGGATTATTCCCCACTCCCCCTCTTCCTTACACCTCTCAGCATTAGGTGAGAGTGCACGCTGTGGGAGATAATTTAATAAAGGCAGACAGGCTTTTTGGAGCTAATCAACAGGTACCTGGCAATGTCCTTCCTTGGAAAAGCTGTTTAAGAAGAGCTTGAACTAATGGAGAGAGGCTTTGTTTTCTTAATGGGTTGATAAACCCTGAGTTAGGGGTGATAAACATTCCCTGCTAGGCTGCCTGGGGGGATGGGGGGACATCAGAGCCTCCTGCCCAGGACTGGCCATGCCCCCCTCAGCTCAGCCCTGTGGAAGGAAAGGAGGGCTGCCAGCAGCAGTTTTGAGGGCACAGACCAGGACAGCTGGTAGGACTGCTGGCCAGGCCCCCTGGCTTTGTGTCCCCTGTGGTAACTGCCCCCGTCACATCCTGTGGCCCAGGCACTATGGGGCTCTGAGCACGCTGCCTGCCCCTGGGCCTGGCTCTCTGTGCCTCCCAGTTCTGCCCTGCCATCCCCACTCTGCAGTCAAATCCCAGCCCTTCTCATTGGGACCAGGACTGAACTCCTCCTGCTGAGTTCAGACATCTCCATGGGGTGACTCAGGGTAGTACTTGACCTTCTCAGAGAGCCAGTCCAGGCTGCACCAGCACCAGCTGACTCCTGGCATGGCAGCAAGGATGCCCTGGTCACAGAGAGCACCAGCCATAGCAGAGGAGCAGGCAGAGCTGGGGTGTGTCAGAAAGGCCACTACTTGCCTCCTGACAAGACAGGCAGGATGGGTTCAGTACTGGGGAAATGCACTGTGCCACACACAAAGTCAGGAGCAGCAGGTGCCCGGGGCACTGGTTCCGCACACACCCCCTCAGCAGAGCTGAGCCTGGGTGCAGTGCTGGGACACAGCTGGCCACGGCGAGTCTGCATGGGCTACGTTGTGCCATGCTGGTGGACCCGAGTGAGCAGGGCTAAGAGCAGCTCTAGGAGCACCTGTGTAGTGCAGGAGACAGGGTGACATGATGTCCCAGTGCACCTGGCAGATGCCTGGTTCAGGGCTGCCAGGCTGCAAGGTTGAGGGGTATGGACGTGGGTAGTTAGCTGGAACATGTCCCTCCACCAGGCCTGTCACCAGGCCTGTCCACAGTCTAATGCTGCCCTTCCCTATCCCACAAGCCATCCCTTTCCCAAATGATGATGGGGGGATGTATTGTGGTAGAGGAGGCACGTTTTCCACTCTACCCATCCCAAAAATGCCACCTGTTAGCAGAGCTGTTTAGCCCTTATCTGCAGGGGTTTTTTTTAAATCAGAGAAAACCAGGATCCCTGCTTATCAGCAACCACAAGGGGCAGACCCTGATTTTATCAGTGACGTGCCCAGGCCAAGGTCAAGCCTGGCACAGCCTGTGGTGGTGCTGGACTGTGCTCAGGCATTGGCAGAGGGCTGTGTCTGGGCAGCAGCTGAGGTACATGGGGCTGCTGCCAATGGCCATTTCCATGGTGGTCCAGGTACCCCAAATTCCAGCAGCCCATCAGTCTATCAGGGGCCAGTGGACATGGTTCTGCAGGCAGGGCCTGGTCCATGGGCTGTACGTTTAAAACCCCTGGGATAAAACATGGGCTTAGCAAGGGAACTTGCTCATTGCTGGCTCAGGCGTTATGTCATCTCTTAATAAACATGCCTTACAGAGGGGAACTCTTGTCTCCTTGTGTGGCTCATTCCTGCCCACGCCTTAAACACACGTGTTTGGGCAACACCCCTGCACCCCAACCTGCCCTGGCCCAGATCCTGGCTATCAGAAAGCAGCAGCAGAATTGGCTCTGGTGATCTGGTCCAAACTCAGCACCTGGGCCACAGAGCAGAGAGCAAGGTAGCAGTGTGCCCTGGCAGAGGCCAGCACAGATGTGTGCTCGCCTAGTGCCGCCAGCTGTTTGCCTGCAGAGGCTATGTTGCCAGCTGGTGGACATGCCCTGTGCTGGGCAGGCAGCCCCAGCTCAGGGAGCAGCAGCAGCCCCCTGCCCTTTGCCTAGAGAGCACAGGGGGCACCAGTGACACAAAACGGAGGACAACAGAAGGCATAAGGGCAAGGGCAGTAGGCGGGCACAGCTGGCACAGTGTGGGGAGTAGCTGAACTGGGGTCTGTCCACTGGCTTACACTGCCCTGGGGTCCTCGGAGAGGTCTGGTGAGAAAGTGTCCCTTCTCCCATCTCCGCTCATGGCCATGCCCCTGCCAGCTGGCTGTAGCTAACAGTGGGAGAGGGGGGAGCTCCTGGGCTCCACAGCTCCCTCCCAGGCTGACTGGCCCTACTGGCCCCCTCCGACTCATGCTGCCTCCAGCATCTCTTGCCCCTGCCTGTTTCTCCAGCCTCTGGTTTTGTGGGGGAAAAGTCCTGGGGTCCTGGGGACATGCACAGAACTGGGAGTCTGGGTGTGGGGCTCGGGATCGCCACGCTCTCCTCACACCTGGGCACCAAGCAAGGCCCCGAATCCCTCTGCAGGAGGCAGGAGCCCATCGTCCCCACTCCCCTCCAGAGAGCACATGAAGGGCTCCAAGGCCGGCATGGATCCCTGGGCTCCACCACAGATCATGCTCCTCTCACTGCAGTGGCTTTTATTTGTATTACAACAGGCTTTGGTCAGGCGCAGAGCACCCTCATACCTGGGACCAGGAGCACCAGGAGAGGGCTCTGCCCCATGTGTACAATATCTCAGGAGCAGTGGAGGATGCAGAC